TCCGCCTTAACCGGAGCATTGTCGACGCCGTTTTACAAAGACATAGTGGTGAACGCGTCGTTGATGGGTCAGGGGATGTCGATTCAGGTCGGTCCGGCACAATCAGATAGCGGGGACGTGAATGCCATAGTGAACGGAATTGAAGTGATGAAGATGAGCAATACGGTGAACAGCTTGGACGGAGAATTCGGGGTGGACGGTCAGAGCAGTGGCGGTACGAACCGGGGGACAGTGGCTGCAGTTGGGTTCGCAATGATGTTCGGAGCGTTTGTGGGGCTGGGGGCAATGGTGGTGAAGTGGCACAAGAGACCGCAAGACTGGCAAAGGAGAAATAGCTTCTCTTCATGGTTGCTTCCTCTTCATGCAGGTGACGATGCTTCTCGAATGCTTCATGACATTATTTGTTGGGAAAATCGCTAAATTTTTTATAAAATTACAAAACTACTTTGAGCTAGTTTCACCAGAATTATTATGTTAAATCTGTCAAATTGGCAAAAAAAAAAAAAATTACTTTGTTAATAGAGTTGTTCAGTTGGCAACTATACAGTAATAATAATTAGCACTACTTGGTAACCTTGGAAAGGGATAAAGAATTTCAGAATAATTTTGTAATTTTATGTAAGAAGTTGGATTGGCTAATGGCATGGTTGATGTAGGTGACAATAGCTTCACGAAAAGCTCAATGGGCTCGCACAAAAGTATGTTCAATTCTTCGACAATGGGCCTGGGCCGTTACTTCTCCTTCGCAGAGCTACAGGAAGCCACCAAGAATTGGGACACCAAAGCCATTATTGGAGTTGGCGGCTTCGGTAACGTCTACCTCGGCATCATCGACGAAGGAACCAAAGTTGCCGTAAAGAGAGGAAACCCACAATCCGAACAAGGAATCAACGAGTTCCAAACAGAGATCCAAATGCTCTCCAAGCTAAGACACAGGCACTTGGTTTCTCTCATTGGATATTGCGACGAGAACGACGAGATGATCTTGGTCTACGAGTACATGTCAAACGGGCCTTTCCGAGACCATCTCTATGGCAAGAACCGGGCTCCTCTTTCCTGGAAACAAAGGCTTGAGATCTGCATCGGCTCGGCCCGCGGGCTTCACTATCTCCACACAGGAACGGCTCAAGGCATCATCCACCGTGACGTCAAGACCACAAACATCCTCCTTGACGATAACTTCACCGCCAAGGTATCTGATTTCGGGCTCTCCAAGGACGCACCAATAGGGCAAGGCTACGTCAGCACAGCGGTGAAGGGTAGTTTCGGGTATTTAGACCCCGAGTACTTCAGGAGGCAGCAGTTGACAGATAAATCTGACGTGTACTCGTTTGGGGTAGTTTTGTTGGAGACGCTGTGTGCTAGGGCACCACTGAATCCTCAGTTACCGAGAGAACAAGTGAACTTGGCGGATTGGGCGATGCAGTGGAAGAGGAAAGGGTTGTTAGATAAGATCATAGATCCTGCACTTTTGGGGACGATCTGCCCAGAATCGATGAACAAGTTTGCAGAAGCAGCTGAGAAGTGCTTGGAAGATTATGGAGTTGATAGGCCTTCAATGGGCGATGTGTTGTGGAATCTGGAATATGCCTTGCAGCTTCAAGAAGCTTACATGCAAGGAAAGTCAGACGATGTCGCCGACCCTATGCCTTCTCCGGCTTCCACTGCGACGCCGGCCAACTCTTCTCTTCCTCCCGTTGCCCTGACAACCTCGGAACAACCACCTAGTACCCTTTCTGCTCCTCAACATGACACTAACGCGCCAGAAAGCAAACCCATTGATGATCATTCTGGAACTCCAGTGTTTGCCCAATTCGCTAATAACCTCAGCGGCAGGTAAAACGAATTGAAACAGAAAGGCTTGCAATCTGATTCCTGAATTGTTTGATCTGATCGTCCCTTTTTAGCTTTATTCCACAAAATCAATGACATGCGATCGAGTTAGTTCGCTAGGTTGGAGCACGCTGACTCGGTCAATCGTTATTAATATTTAAGGGGTCGGAATCTCACAATCATCAAGAACCATATTGCTAGTTTGTGAAAAGCATCGTTATGACGCCTATTTGAAATATATATGAGCATGTGGAAAAAGGGGGGGGTGGGGGTTAAGTGTTCGGATTTGGAAAGCCAAGAATTTGGCTGTATTATAAGTGTTTGTTTGTTTTTTTGAAGGTTTAATTCAATTGATTACCAAGATTTTGGTTGTACAATGATGTGTGATATTGTATACTTGTACTCTACATTTTCTCTTGTCACTCCCTGCTGTGCTTGATCGTGGTAGCAAACATTTGTAATATGGTTAATGCACTACTGATGTATTATAAGGGTAAATCAATATGGTTTTATATAATTGAGTTGTAGTATATTATAGTTGTATGAATTGCATAGGTTGTGTGGCACAAAGAAATACATTAGATTTCTTTTTATTTTGATTATTCATAAATATTCAGATTTCTTGTGTATAGACAACTAGGCTAGGAATTCTATAAATAAAAACATTAGATTTTTTTTAGCAACTATTTTATGGGCCCATTTGTTTTAGATCATTTCATGAAAAAATCACTTATTTTTTTTTAAAAAAATCTATTTTATGAGTTTTTATGACATTTGTTTAAACTTTTGAAAATAAGTAGAATTTGAAAAAAAAATATATTTCTAATTATTTTAAGAAGTTATTTTGAATAGCTTCTGAAAATAATCTAATGCGGTAGATAAGAGACAGTATTTTAAAGCAATGAGATACTTGAATATATAATAAAATTTTAAAATAATATAATAATAAATTATTTTTATAAAATAAAAATCAAGAAAGATATCATACAATTTAAAAATAACTAACTAATAATTTTTTTATTATTATATTCAAATATAAAATAATGTCTGTTTTTTATAAAATCTCTACAAAATAAATCACTCCTTAAAAAATCTCTAAGCTACATAAAAATTATTTATTTTTTAATTTTAGAAAAATAGGCCCTATATCTTATACTATGGAAGTCTGATTTTGTTGGGTCTAACTAGGAAGTTTTAGATCATTTTACCTTATTTTTTTTCTGCCCAAATTTGCTAACTATTGAAGGTAGGTAAACAATAAATTTCTTTCATCAATAAAGCAATCCCTTTATGAAATAATATTATCCATGACTGAATGTAAAATTAATTAATTAATTAATCTATCAATTCAATCTAAAAATAATAATGGTAAAATATACTTTTAGTCCTTTAATTTTATACAAGATTTTATTTTGATCATTTAATTTTTTAAAGTGTCTTTTTATTCTTTTAGCCCTAACTCTCTTAGTTTCATTACAAAAAATTTTTACATTAAAATTTAAAATATTGAAAAAACATTTTTAAATATTGATATATTAAGTTTATTTTTTTGAAAAAATAATAATGATTGATATAAAAAAATAATTGTTTAAAATTAATGGTGTTAGAGTTAAATGATTGAAAATATATCTTAAAAAAATTAAGGGACTAAATTGAAATCTTATATAAAATTAGAAGATAAAAAATATACTTTATTCAACAAATATTAAAGCCCTACTTCATTTAAAAAAAAAACAATATCACTTTCCTCATCTCTCATTATCTACCAAAGCAATTACATTAATTTTTATAAATTTAATTTCATGATCCGCAGCTATCTGGATTTTGACTCTATACATCAGTACCCATTTGATCTAAGTATCTAAATTATATTTAAATAACTTATATTTTTCCAAAATAAAAAATAGATCATTTAAATTTGATTTGAGCACAATAAATAAGGAATTCGGATTTGGTCACAAATTCAAAGCTGTTGAAGAGGATGGATCCTTTACCTTCATTGTTATACATAGCAAAAGAGCTGAATTGATTTTGGAAAAAGAAGGGATATTCACGTCCAACTAGGATGAATACTAAATATTTTTATATCATCACAAGGTGTCTATTGAAAATTCCAAGGAAAGGGTTGGATGCCCAAGTGAGCATGGATCCGACTGTGCTTGACAAAATGAGCCAACGTGTGATTAATGATATCAGTGAAAGCAAGGATTACTTGTTGAGACAAGAAGATATTTGGAGTGTAATAAATAACCAATCCAAATTGGCTAAGCTAATGAGAATAGCTCATATCATTTACCCTTGTTGATGTACACAACAAACAAGCTAAGTAGAATTTATTTTGAGTTGGATGACATTTCCGAACTTGCTTTTCTTATGGTCAAAAAGGGGGGGAAAAAAAGCCTTGTACAAGAAATATGCATGGTATACACTCAACTAAAGACAAAGTAAATTGCCTGTTGAGGGAAATTAGGAGAGACGAGGAACGGTGGAAGAAGGATCGATGGAGCCATGGAGGCGATGAATTAAGCCTTGATCTCTTACAGCGACGAAGTCCTGAATATTGATTCACATGCTAAAAGCGGATCAACTAATGGCAAATTTGAAGGAGAATATTGAAGGGTTTTCTTTGTTGCTGATTTGCATTAATTAGATCTTTTAGTAAAATCTGGAAATATATAAATAAACTGTCGCAAGACTCGGAAAAAACAAACACATAAGTTTGAATTCAATATAACATTTACAATGTCAATAATTTATCCTTTTTTTCTGTTTGGAGGGCGTTTAAGTTTGATTTTCAGAGAAATGGAACAAAACAAATTCTCCTCAATAATCTCATGTTCTCAATTCGAGAAAAATAACTTACTTTTTCCCTTCAAATAAAAAGTTATTAAATACAATCATACAAGAAAGGTAACTTTCTAGCGGCTATCTCTTTTACCACTTACACAAGATATAAGATGAAATACTCATGAGTTACAAATAATTTGTTTTTTTTTATTTTTCATATTATATATATATATATATATATAGAGGCTGAAAATGGAAGCAAGCTGAATGATGAAGAGAGAAAGTAGATGAGGATGACATGAGAAAGATGGTCTATATTAAGCATAAGGTTTAAAACGAACCCCGATTTATCGAACCCCAAAAACTATTCTGTATCTTGAATGCAACGCCTTAATTGTGCTTCAGGAAACCTAATAATGTCAAGTCGGCTTATATAAGAAGAGTGTTAAGATGATGCATATCTTCTAAGCATCACCATTCGGTTTTCCTCTCGACCAAGATGGAGCAAGAAATCAATCAACTCATATTCAACATGGGTTCCCTCGGGACCAGTGCTCCACAAAGGTCAGATCTTTTTGTTTTTCCTTGAATCCTTGAAATGCGTGCATGTTATTCAAAAATTGAGAATGAATGCAGGAGAGGACTATCAAGGTATTATTCTGGGAAAGCAAGATCATTCACATGCATAGCAGATGTTCGATGCTTGGAGGATTTGAAGAAACCGAAACACCCCGACAACAAGAAAAGGAAGAAACATTCTGAGGCTAAAAACGACGGCGGCGGCGGCGGCGGCGGCAACGACAACATTCACATTCTTCCTCCTTATGCATGTCGAAGGGTACCTAGTTGTGCTCAGTTTGCCACCCCTTACGTCAATGTCTAGATCCACCTCCCATTCTACATAACAAATGCCTCTACGGCTCTACCAAATCTCTTTGTACATTCCTCTATTTTATTACATTTTTGAACTTCATCCCGTTGTTCTTTACCTTTTCATCCGACACATTTCATGGCACATTTCATGCCATTTATAGAAACGTCCTAGTAGCTCAGGGCTCTGTCCTCAATTTTGCTTGTACATTATTTATATAAATAAATACTATCATTTTGGAGTAGCTTTCTAGTTTCTTCTACCTTGTATGCTTTCTTTTTCTGCAGATTCTGTTTCTAGCATTGAAGGAAAAAATATTTCACATTCATAATACAAATGAAATTTTCATCCCTGGATAAATTAGTACTGTGATCTCATGGTGACTGATGTTAAAATATCTTCCAACCATGCAAGACCACGTTTATCAGTAGGAAGACAAACACGGTTATCATACCCACAAAGCTGAATTTACATGACTAAAATTTTGAATAGGATGTCAAATTGCAAAACCTTTTCACTAATTTAGATGTGAGACAGTCAATATGATGTCAGTCATCTAAGTCAAGAAGAAAGTATTACATGGCTGCTACAATTTGTGAAGGATCCTGGAGAACAAACGTAATCTATCTCAAGCAGAAGACTAATAAATGGCTTGCAGAACTGTTAATAACAATGGCCAAAAGAAGAATCACCAAATCTCCCTACAGATACAAAATTAGGATGACAGAAATCATCCACGTTTTACTTCACAAATGACCTACTGCAATCTTTTCCTTTTGTAGCTGTCTGAATTCCCATCGACCATGACAAGATCATCTTCATCATCAATTACTTGATATGGCTTGTGATTTGTTTCGTCAGCCACACTTGCAGCAACTTCTGAGGTTTCAGAGATTCTTCGTTTCTTTGGTGCATCCGACACACTTGCACCATTGTTGACTGACTTGTCTTCCTTTTCCTTTTCTGGTGCGGACACAGGTTGAGTCCATCCCGAGAGAATCATTCCATCAGGCTCTTTCTCCTCGTCAAACTCTTCCCTGTGAAAAAAACAAAGTAACTCAGAACTAACAAACCCGAAAAGTATATGAAGTGAAAGTGGAAATGGGTAAGTATAAATTTCTTACTAAAAGCTAATCAAGTTAGAAGGTTACTTTAACTTTAGCATTAGAATATCGAGTTCAAATGAAAACATAAAGAAATTTGAGGAAGTACCTATGCTTGATGTTGATGTTGCATGTGAATTCCTGTTGAAAATCCTCTATTGTAAGCATTGTACCACTTGTCACAGGAGAAGGAAGCTCAGCTAGCACCTGCAAAGAGGAAGAAAAATGCTAAATACAATGTAACAAGCAAGCATGAAAACAGAGAGCCAGAAGTACACCTTTTCAAGGTTGGCTTCATAAGTTGCCTTCATGTCATCATCAAGATCATCACCAACCTCAAAAAGAAGGGTTGAACCTTGCATAATAATCGGCAAGTTCATCCCAAGCTTTGCCTTGACAATCTTTTCCACAAAGTCTTTCAACTTTGAACGGTAAGTGTTTATCTCAAGCAGTAGAGGTGTCTGGCAATAACAAATACATGGTGTGAGTAGTCTATTTGCAACTAGCAAACATTCAAGGAAAACAATGAAAGAAGGCCATATATCACATACCTCTGAACAAACATAACAAGACTTGTTAGGTTCAAATGGTTCCACTGGCATAAGCAGCATCTTTCTTGATGGATGTTCCAGGCAATATGTCATTCTACAAGATCATTAAATTAGATTTTAAAATAAGTATAAAGATGATGCTTAAAGTTGCAGAGTGGTCAATTAAAGGGTAGTACAGATTACATACAAGAGCGCAAACAAAATACAGACCAGAGGTTCACATGCTCTTTAAATTGCTAATCAAGTAACCAGTTTTCATCTACGCCACATGCACTACCTTAAACTCGACAAGAATAGTAATCCTGCCAGGTCCAAAATGCAAGTAAAATTGACATAAATTATTTTACTCAGCACTGGCATAATGACAATACTAACAACTATTTTCTTCAAAATACTTGTAGCATTCTTGGTCAAAGATTCATTTGTCACAACTAGATCTGAATGCCCTATCTGAACGTATGGTATAGTAACAAAACCACTTTTCCATTCTGTAAGCACACTAAAGATTATTAAGGAAACAAGGAAAGCAGGGCACAAAACAGAAGGGAGAGAAATATCATCATACCTATAATTTTTTATGTCATTTTTCAGCACCTTGATTGCTTCAATGACAATCAGACCAGCAATAACTGCATTGGTCGTAGCAACAGCATGCACAATGTTACCAGCAATACCTTTAGCTTCAAAAAGGCTGTGCAGTGGGATGCCAAATGAAGCAGCACGTATGTTAGCAGATGCAGTAACAAATTCAACTGCAAGCTGATCATCTTTATCAAAACTCAGGTTGCCAATATCCTGGTCGAAAACACAGAAAGAAAATCCACCAGAAAAGGGAGGAAAATGTTAAGTACCAATTCGGCAATATAAAAAGTGATCAATGACCGCTACATCAAAAACTTGAAAGTGCAAAACAAACCTTTCCCCTCTTCATGAAAAATAGCCTCAGAGATTCAAAAAATATTCTAGAATTCTCAGAAAGACTCCAAATATCCTGAGGATTCTTCATGCCCAATGAAGCCATGGCAGACACTGATGACCCATCCTCAGTTGCAGAATCTTTGTCGACATTTCCATTCTGCTGAGCCATTTCATCAGATAGAATATCCTTACTATAAATAGGCTTTGGTTTATTGCGATTTTTCCATGTCTCTTCATTGGACAAAGCTAATTCAATGTTGTAACCAAATACATGATCAAATATTCTCCTTCCATACTCATCAATGTCTTCACCATCCCTACGTTCAAATACATCAACTACATTTGCAGATGAGCTGGCACCATCACTAGATCGTATATTTAAATCATTTTCCTGATTCTTGTCTCCAAACAACTTAGCAAAAAGTAGGTCTTTGGCCCAAACAATACAGTGAACGAACTGGGGAGAAAAGCAAAAGGGACAGAAGATTATAATTTATTACCAAGGAGTAAAATAATAGAATAGATTGTAAGCAACAAATTCACCCATTTATTAAGCATACAAAAACCATCAAAATTCATCAATAGCATGGAAATTCCCAACTGCATCTACCAAATAATTATGTCGTCTAATGATAATTCCCTAAAGATACATTTAGAAAAATTAAATTAGTAACTCAGCCTAACAAAAACATCAAGAGTTGAGATAAACGAAGCTCCTTTAGCTTCAATTTTTAAACCTACTTTTTCCCCTAGATTCATACTATTACTTGCCCAACAAAAGATGGTAACTACCCATCACCCAAAGAAGCGGATGAAGTCAGCATACATGTGGACATAAGGTAAGAGTTAACAAGTATAAACCCGCACCTTTGAGGGAGTACTTGTGATAGTACAAACAGGATATGTCTTGGGAGCTGGTTTGGGCTGACACTCATAGCACTCTGTTTTTCCCTTGACATGTACAGTGACCTGCATTCCAGTAACATAATATCACAAAAAATATGGATAAAATGCTTCTGAGACTATCACAGTTGTTGACCAAACAAGTTTCAGCACACAAAAGGTCTTACAAAAAAAAAATCAAATTTGGGGACTTTGCATCCTAAAAAATAATAAAATTATGTGTCAGAAGTTAAAAAGGCTAGACATGATTTTTATTTTCAACCAGAGGAATGTTATCTTGTCAAAAATCAAGGAATGCACAAACTACAAAATCAGTAATCTGTTGGTGATGACTAACATGAATAGCTCAAACAGGGTTACAATGAAAATTAGATTTTGACAACATATCTAGAATAAACAAAGACACACCAAGGCAAAAATGGGGCAAAAAATCAGCAATATTAACAAACAAAAAGTATTGAATAGGACTTTAACAGTCAATGGAAATGAATATGACTTGTCAAGGAGCCCATATATATATATATATATATATATTAAAAAAAATCACCTGTCCAAGGAACCCAGTCGTTCCACTTTCAACCAATGGAACATTGGCTGCCAAGCTTAAGCGATTCACATGCCTTCGTGCATCTAGATTGTCAAGTCCATTCAAAACAACATTAAATTGCTTAAAGAACTCCACATTGAACCCAGGATCTTTGACATTTGCATGGTACGATTTAATGCTTATGTGAGGCCTAAATTTTAAGACAGCATCCCTAGCAACCTGAGTGAGAATATCATTAGGTGCCTGTATAAATAAACCCAAAGCACTTTACACTAATAGCTACAGAAACTTACTTTAGACTTGGATTGCCCAACATGGGATTGTCGGAATAAAAATTGCCTGTTCAGGTTACTGACTTCTATAGTGTCCATATCAATCTGCATATTGGAAATAAAAGAGGTGAATTGAAAAGTGAAAGCACATGTATAGTCTAAAAACATAGAGATAATATAGAAGATGCATTAAATGGGTATTGTCATCGAAACTTACACGCTCCCTGCCCAGGGGCATCCAAGGGAACACAAACACGGGACAATCCGTTTATAGATTGAATAATAGAAGGATGGAATACCCCAGTCCCTCTGAGAAGCTATCATAATGCACAATCACTTAATCCAACTACATCACATGGGAGCTCATTTAGTGCATGCATATTACAGTGATTTCAAGAACAATCAACAATCCATCATACTTTTCACTACATGTTATGATAACATACATCAATTCCCCATCTCTCGCTTCCATAAATACTTTCCTAACATAAACCAGGCTACCAAAAGAAAAAAATTAATCAAACTAAACATAAAAACAAACTTAATATTACAACTGAACGAAAACAAAAGAGAATCATTACTTATGCACAATTTATTTATACTGGAGAGTTATAGGGGCCACAAATTTTAAAAAGAAAATTCAACAGGCCACCGCACATAAAACTCCGTTCTACAAAATTGAATAAACCCCTGTGCATGAAAACCCTAGCGAGAACACTAGCTAAGAATTAAGAATATACCATAAACCCTTCTGAAAAATGGGATTAAGAGAACAAGATGCAGAAACTTCTAACTTCAAAATCATAAATATGAACTCACAATATGTATGTCCTGAAAACCAGAGAGAGCGAGAGTTTTCAGCAGCTCGCACCCAATTCCACCAGCTCCAACCATAAGCACTTTTGCTCCCTGAAAACACATCCAATATCTATGTGAGATTAAATTCCAGAAAATAACACGAAATGGGTGAGTTCCTGCGAAATTTTTACTACCTTTACCGCAGAAAGTTGCGTATCCATTGGAGATGAACAGTGAGGAAGACACAGAAATCTCGAAAATCATAAAGGGGAGGGGGGCGAGAGAGAGGAGGGTGTCCCTCGGAACCAGTGCTTGAGGAGAATCGAACCAGGGATATGTGCAGCTAGAGAATCTGAAGGGTGAAGAAAAAGAAGGGCTATACAGAGAACCTAGACAATACCCACCAAAAAAAAGAGAGAAAAATAAAAGGAAGAAAAGGTGCCACTCTCGCACTCTCGGGGGCTGCGATGGAGAGAGTAGGAGGGCAGTTCAGCTCAGTGAGTAGTTATGAGTATTGCGATTCAGACGACGCGACGGTCCACGGAGGCTTTTGGACTCAACGGACTTGGGAATAGGGATTTGAATCGGACGTTCGACGGCCAATACAATAAAAACAAACACAAAAAGCTTGAAATTCAAGGGACTTGAGGGGAGGAGAGGGTAGCGATTATTATTATTAATTTTTTTTTTCTCCTTAAGAAATTTAAGGCTCCCTTGTTGACTATTCAGGGCGTGACGATTTTAACGTATGGGAGGGTGCATGACTTGAAGTAACTGGGCCAATAATTTCTTGACACGTAGCTGCGGGCTTGAACATTAGTTGGCGACAAATTTTAGGCAGTTAATAATTAATAATAGTTATTCTTGTATACAACGACAAAAATATTTTTAAAAAAGAAAATAAAAAAATATTTATAAAGAAAATAAGATTGATGTATGTTTTATTTTCTTGAAAAAAACAGTTGACCCTAACTTCATAAAATTTAAAATAAAAATTTGTAATTATAAATTATCCTCAAAATCTAAAAAAACATAACAAAAATACTTTCCTCTCAAAATGTATTGTTAAAAGTCATAAGTTCGAAATAAACCTTTTCAACGGTGAAACATACATGCATATGTTCCATGATTTAGGAAGAGCCACACATCTCCGATCAAGATCCATCTTTTTCCTCCAATTGCAAACTGAATTTCATGCATAAATAAGGATCAAATTGAAATTTGAAATAAATTTGATGAACTAAAATTAAACTGAGGAACCACCCTATGTTAGGAGTACCACAGTGGTGGAATATGCTGCTTATATATACTTCATACACTAATTTCACTGATATGAGAGCCAATGTTGTTGTGAGAAATTGTGTTATGCGAATCTTTGCACGAGCTAGGTTTAGCACCGATGAGTGTTTATTTTAATTATTTGTTTTCTTGAATTTTTTTTCTCTGTTGGACTGGTTATCGTATTTTTTTGACGTGCTTTGATGTGCTTAGGTTGTATTTGTAAGTTTCTTTTTTTTTTTTTTTTTGCTATTAACGTGTGTAATTGGTTTTTTTTAATTAATAAAATTAGCTCTTTTTTTTTTTGGGGGAAAAAAAAGTCCCCATGAGTGTTTATCTATGGGGTATGCAAATCTTTGTGTAGAAAAAACAACGAGAGGGAGACGACAACTTTTTTGATCATAAGCATGAATTTTATTGATTAGAATATTCAAACTCCTCTGCTTTTTTTCCTTGCTGCATTTATTTTACTTTTCGGCTCTGGCTAAGATAAAATTACTCAGGTGTTCTATTTTTGCTTTGTTTTGTCGAAATGTAAGTAACAACACAAAAAAAGAATCCCACAAAAGAAATTTATTTGGGTAGTCAAAACATGAATAACTGTAATTCAAACACAACAAATTTACAATTACAATACTAGTTATAAAACTGTAATCCGCAAATTGAAGAACTTCATCAACCGAAAAAAAAAAAATTAAACCTAACAAATAATGAAAGAAGAAACAATACGTGCTTGTCCAAATTTTGGTTATGCCCATCTCCTTGATGTTCCAAGTTTAAAGATGTCACCAAACAAAAAAAAAAAAGCATCTCTTTGGTTACCTGAATTATTATTAGCAGAGTAAGTTGCCATAATTCTTCAACAATCAAAACCCCCAGTTTGATGCTATCAATCGAAATCAATTTAGATCAAGAACTGGCCTTGAGAAGCAAAAGTGGCAGCACTCGCATGATCCGAGGATAAGACAAAAGTTGAATGCATGTCTGTTGATCAGATTCTTGTGCAATTGCAAAGACATTACCTAGTAGTGGAATTGCACAAAGTATTGGACGGCGTTAAACTTTGGTCTAACTCAAAATCTAATTTCTTTTATGAAAAAAATTGGATTAGGCAACTCATAATATAATCTTATTTAATGATAATTTGAAAATTAATAGGATCAGGCTTAGTACATAGGATTAAAAGACTTGTTCTATTAGTCCAATATTCATTTAGTTATTTTTTTCCTTTCCTTTATGAAAGATAATAAACCATTTCAACTTAATAAACTCAATTAAGATAATAAAAATACTTATAATTATAATAAATTCATAATAATTTCTAACAATAAGAAAAAAATTTAGTTACAGTCTAAATGATTTAAATTTATAATTTCAACAAAAACAACACCCAACAAGTTTCAACAACATTATATTATAACAACAATTTAGAAACAAACTCGACAAATCTTCATGTAATCGTCTCCGTAGCGTCAATTATACTTGAACAAGTTGTAAAAAAATAATTAATTTAATTATATTAAATAAATTAATAGGACCACACTAAACCAAGTAATTGAGATGACCAATCTCTTGTTTAGTCTAATCTAAAAAAATTGTCTGATCTTTTCAATTTTTTTAGTCTTAAAGAATCAGTATTTATATGAACAAGACGGTATAGGATCATCTTGGATCAAACTAGGTCGGATTGGACAGGATGACTTTTGCACAACCCTTCCTTATAACTGATGAGAAGTCCAAATCAACATGTAGTGCAGGGGAGATATACAAGGTTGCAATGGATGAAAACCCTAAGAAGCTTTGGTTTATAAATAAAACAACTAGAAAGAAGACCAACATTCAAGAAGCAACTAGAGGAGGAGGAGGAGGCACCTTGTGTGGTTGGTGCTCACAAAATTTAAATACATTACAGATGTACAGATCAAATGTAATAAAGTGAATTAAGGTCATCCCATAAGGAATTAAAGTAAAAAGGATTGAGCATAAACAAAATTCATTTTCATCTCAATTAAGAAACCCAATCAAAGAGTGAACATAAATTTTTATTAACTCAAATTAAGGTTCAACTAAAAGCAATAAAATGACTCCAAGGTAAGGTAAGCAATCAAGGAGCATTATAGGAATTCTAATCCCATTTTATACTTTGCAACTCAATTCCTCCAAGTTGTCTAGTTTAATTTCAACTTTGGAACCATGGCTGTATTTTATATTTAAGCATCCAATGTAACATCCCAAGGAAATTAAATCCAAGAGTTAGATTAACTTATAGAGTTAGATTAATTAAGTTAGGGGTTTAATTAGTCAATAGTGATGATTGGGGGTTAATTATAGAGTTTGGAATGCATTTTTGTGCAATAATTAATATGACCACCATTGTGTACACCAAGAATCCATACTCCTCCACTCTTTAGGCCGTGTTTGATATATCAAAATTGTGAAAAGGGAAATGGAATTGGACATGAAATTCTTCAGTTGGCTTGTTTGGTATATCAGAATTGCTTTCTTGAAGGAATCTGATTCCATCAAAATTGATGGAATCCAATTCCATTGTAGAGACCATGGAATCCACCAACTCAACATGAAATTGGCTTATGTGTCATTAAAAAAATAAAATAAAAGGTATTTTGAGCTTTAAAAATATATTCTTTATTTTTTTATTGTTAAGTTTTTCATTAAAAAATAAAATAAAGGGTATTTTAATTTTTTATATTTTAAATACATATACTTATTAAAATTATATCATGATTCTATCTTCATACCAAACACACTTTTAAAACTCAATTCAATTCCAATTCCGATTCCGATTCTATCAAAAACTCTTCTATTATACCAAATGAGACCTTAGTGTATGCTAGCTACACACATACATCCACACGCGCGTATTGCATGTTATGTTTATTGGAGTAAATGTTTTACTCAAATATATAAAATTTTATGAATTTAGATTTAATTTAAATTAAAATCTATATTTTATTATATTTTTTTATAATTTCAAATTCTCTTTATATCTTAATACCTGTTTGAGTAGCACTTTTGAAATCTCAAATATGCTTTTGACTTAATATTCGAAGCAAATGTTGTGAGAAGCAAAATAGAATAGTATTTGGAAAAGTGCTTTCTAAACAAAAAACAAACAAACTTTTAGTTATTTGAAATTATACATCTATAATTCTCACATATTCTTTCATCTTTTATTTTCATTTGTCATCAATTAAAAGACAGAAGTAAAATCATTACTCTAAATTTTTTATTTTTACTTTAAATTTTAATTCATCTCTCTTCTTTTTTTAAATTTTTTTAAATTATTCAAATAAAAAATTTTAAATTTGATATTTGAAATGTGAGATTTTAAATATAAAATCTAAATTCAAATCCACTAATCCAAGTACTATTCAATGCCAAGAAAAAAAAATGTACCTTAATTTGTTTAATATATTTTATGTCACATTTTAGATGTCATGTCGTGAAGTGTTACAATAAAAATTGTTGAAATGTTGAAAATAATTAGTAGTTAAAGTTAAGATTAATATGTAACTTGAACCCTTAATTGTAAATTCAAGAGTAATTTAAACCCAATACCCATATTCAGTACATCACAAGCCCTAAGCAATTGCCCCATGTTGTCAATATTAAATAAATGTCTTTCCTTCTCTCTTTCTCCATTACCCTCTCTTCCCTCATCCTCACTCTCCTCTTCACCACTATACTGGACACAACACCTTAGATTTGGGTTCTTTGAATTCGTGGAGGTGTCAACGGTCATCACAGTGGTCATAGACATATCACAATGGAAGCCATGCACGGCCACCACATCATTCCAATACTAGAAGCTCAATAGCGGCTGTAAAAATATAACAATGGTCGTAGAAAGATTCCCACACATTTAAGCTCAAGGAATCTCCACAAGCATGATCTTCTTCATTCTCCACTTGTTTTCTTGCTCTCAATTCACTCATATTGTGAAACCTATAAGCTTCAACTTATTGTTGATAAAACAAAGACAATGCCATCGAAGCAGAGCAAGACATGCATGCTTGCCATGTCCTTTCAATCTTGCTTCCTAGTAGACTTGGTGCTGCTTTTGGTAAGCTCAACCGCATAAAGCTTAACTTCACTCTCCACTTGTGAGATGAAGTTGACGGTTCCTTTAATGAAGGAGAGATTCACGCCGAGTAAAAGGTAGGTGAGAGAGTAAGGGTTTGAGGTATTTAAAGAAGAGAAGAACATGGATGTGTGACATGTTTGAACAAGAAAATGACTGCCATTTGTGAGTGCTCATTTTGGCCCTCTTCCTCCCTCCATAGGCTCATTCCATAACAAGGTTGTTGGGAAGCATTTATAGTGGGCAAGTGCCATTTGCGATGCTTGTAGGCAAAGAAGGAGGGAGAGAGAGGAGAGGGTGGGGAGGGATGGGGGAGGGAGAGAGAGAGAGAGGATAAGAGGGAGGGAGGAGAGAGGCTAATAAAGAGAAAATTTGTACCTACTGCAATATTCATAATAACAACCGTTAGTTATAAATTAATGGTGGATGTAAGATTGCTTTAATTTTAATTGTTTAAAATTTAAAATATATCAATTATGAGTATATGATTCAAATTAACGCACACCTATAGTTCAAGTCTAAATTGATAGTAATCCTTAAATTTAACACCACAAGTTGAAATATCTGTCTATTTTAAATTTTAAGTAAGACACTTTTGGACTATTATTTCCTCTTGTGTGCATAACTACCAATAACTAACTCACCAAGGTTCAGAATTAATTAAAAAAAAGTAATTAAAATGGTTAGATTCATTATTGTCTCAAATTAATTTTTCCCTAAAAATGATCTTAATGAATTAATTCAAATATATTCTCTCTCCTTTTATTGTTCTTGGTAAAAGAAAAAAAAAGATCATGGAGTTAATGGGAAGCATTTATAGAATAATTAATTTCCCAAACATCTAGATTCTTGCCCTATATTCTGTGCCAATCTAAACCTCTACTAAGTGCCCTATATTCTTGCCCTATATTTGAGACTGGAGAGAGGGAGTATGTTAATATTTCGTCCCGTAACTGCGTTGCTAGGTTGGTAATTTACAGCGTTGGCAAAAACAATTAAAAAAAATGGTTGGTAATTTACATGTTATTAGAAAAGAAGGTTGGTAATTTGTCAAGTAAAATTATCAAAATGGGTTGAGGGAAGTAATTCATCGTGGTAATTTGTCTATTTCTAATCCACAAGTCTCAATAAATTCATTCCTTTCTCGAGGGGTAAAAGTCCATTTTATTTCTCCTCTATATTTGCTGTCTGAATATCTTTCAGAGCATTTCACCATGGTCATCCAATATTAGATTGAACATTATTAAAAACATTGAGACAATAATTCGATTGATAACGTCGTCAAAAGTTTAACTCTTGAGCTCCAGACATGACTTGGCAAAAAATCCTTTTTATTCTTTTGTACTTACAAGTTAAAAATTAAATTAAAATGTTACCAATATTATGTATATGTGTTTCTATTTTTTTTATTTCACCCAAAATGATTTCGAGATAACCAGATTCCAGATTATATTTGAGGAATTCTGACCGGTGAATGAAAGATCAAGAGGTGGCTTGGGAAAACGAAGAAGAATGTCAATTGTCAAATCAAATTTAGTCATCAAAGCCCCCCCTTTGTGGATTTTGTTTTTGAAAACCAACCACTCCACCACTCACAAAGTTGATTCTTGAATAATCACATTTTTATTTATATTAAAAAATTTAGGTGAGTTAAATTTATAAATTCATCATCGTTTCATATTAAATAAAAATTTACAGAAATATTATATACCACATACTAATAATGTCTTTGCTCGGATAGCAAGACATAATTTTATAAACTATAAATTAATTTTTTATTAACTAGATTAGTATTTGTTGACTTGAATAGTCATATTTTATTTATTTTTTAACCTTATTTTTTAGTTTTTAAGTAAAAGTGACATTTTTTTTGCCCCTATTTGCATAGGTTTAAACTCAAAATCTCAAACTTAACTGATCATTATGAGGTTATTTGACAACTTATTTTGGAAGTAGTTTTTTGTTCTTCAGAGTTGAAAAAAAAAATTTGTATAATGATATGTTTTTAGAAAGTATTTTAAAGAAAAAAAGTATATACTATTCTAGAAAATAAAAAAATAAAAATATTTTTTAAATATTTTGAAATTTAAAATAAGGGAGAATGTAAAAAATACTTATTTTTATTATTTTTTGTTTTCAAAATATACTCCATAAAAGTATTAATTATCAAAATAATAAAATAAAAATAATTTTAAATAAGTGCTATCTCATTTCGAAGGGAAAAAACCAATCATAATCCCTTATACTAGATACAAAGCCAGTTTAATCCAGCTTCCATTATTCCTGAAACAAAAACATTCCTTCGTAACTGATATAGTGTGTGTATCCATTTCCTTAACAGTTTGATAAACATATTATATTATTATATTTGATTTCTTATGACGTGGAAGCGTTATCTTCGGGAAGCTTCTTCCTCAATAATTTTCTGGTCACATTTAGTCACTCACGCTTGCAGTTAGTTAACTCAAACCAGGGTGTTCACCGAATTACATTACTGCCATGCGTTTCTCATCGCTGATTCTTCACCATTTCTGCGTGCCTACCAAACCGACGGTGATAACTACCTCGACTTCTTCGTAAACTGTGTTCCGCGATTCACCCAAACCGTATAATTAATTACCTGAAGTAAATTATCGCTGTTCCGTATTTCCTGTGTTTCGGTGTTCTGCAACGCCGGTTACTCCTCTGTTCTTGCATTCCCATGGCCAGGCCAAAAGCTCAAAGACGAACCCTTGATTCGTACACTGTCAAACACATAAACAAAACCATTAAGGGTAATGACTTGTAATAACTAAGTGAATACTTTACTTATTTTCGTCTCCCGATTTTCCCGGGAAAACTCTATGGCTTCTTTTGTTCACTCTTTCCTGTCTGTTTCCTGCCGTCTTTCTTTCCTGATATGTGATGCTTCCACTGTTCTCAGCTGGCGACTGCGTGCTTATGCGGCCGTCCGACCCGTCCAATCCTTCGTATGTGGCTAGGATTGAGCGGATCGAAGCCGACTCGCGTGGTGCCAACGTTAAGGTCCACGTTAGGTGGTATTACCGGCCAGAGGAGTCAATCGGCGGCCGGAGGCAGTTCCACGGTTCGAAGGAGGTTTTCCTTTCTGATCATTTTGATGTTCAGAGCGCCGATACGATCGAAGGCAAGTGTGCAGTTCACAGTTTCAAGAGCTACACGAAACTTGAGGCTGTTGGAAACGAGGATTTCTTCTGTCGCTTCGAATACAATTCCGCAACCGGTGCTTTCAATCCTGATAGAGTGGCTGTGTATGCTGATTCATTCTTGCTTTGTGTGCTTATTATCGGGTTTATGCTGTCGTTTTAGCAATATTTTGTTTTCATATGCAAGTTTCCGCTATTCTTGAATTTTTGGTTGGAAGTGTGCTCTTAAGCTGCTAATAACCTGATTTTTTTTTTTATCAGACTATGTTCTGTTCAATGGCTTTGGCAGTTAAGCTGCTAGTAATTCAGACTATGCTCTGTTCAATGGCTCTGCCAGTCATGTAGTTTTGTTTGTCAGTTGTTACACTAATTGTTGGAATCGTTAACGTTAATTTTGATGAAATCAATGGAATTATGTGGCTTTTTCTTTGCTGCTTCGGTCGGAGTAAGGAAAGTGACGACTTTTATATTAAATACGTGGAATTTTGGTTCATGCGTTGATTGTTTAACTTTTCATTGTAGGTACTGCAAATGTGAGATGCCCTACAACCCTGATGACCTGATGGTCCAGTGTGAGAGTTGCAGTGATTGGTAAGATGGACATATAAGGTGATATTACCCTTGGTTGATTATGCTTCTGCTCTATTGATTTGTCTAAGATTTATTACCTGTTTTATTTTTTTGATGTTGATGTTTAGTTCTGAAAATACATGTCATCTTCCTTATGCATTTTATTTTTAATTTGGGTTAAAGGTTATTATCGTTCTATACCCTCAATAGAAGCACCCCTGTCCTATGCTTCATTTTGGTACAATCTTCCCCTTAAACTTACAAAAACGGTCCAATTCTTATCTTCTTGGTTTCATTTGAGGGAACAAGGTATTTTAAGTCAGTGTGAACCATACAGGCATCTGTATTCTTTGCGTAAGACTCTTCTTCTTAAAGCTCACTCTGCCTGCCTGCCTGCATGTATGGAAACACCAGCACTGAGCAATGTATGTATTTTGATGCTTCCATTAGTTTGCATTCACTGTCTGCCTGTCTGCATGTATGAAATGTGATTTTAAATAATGATAAATATAATGTAATGAAAATTTAGCGTCTCTTGGTTATTCTTAAAAACGAATCTGCTTTCTTGCTACCCCAGAGGCAACTCAGTTTTCCTGCAAGAGTATGTGATGAATAGCCTTAGACGGTGAGTGTTGATAAACTCAACTTGCTAGGCTAATCAAAATTATTAAGATCTCGATCACCTACTCAGATCATTTAATTAAAAAATAGCTGACATTTTAAATCCTTAATGCTCAAGGAATTACCCAAAACAATCAACTTATACTCTTTCGTCTCTTGACGATGTTTGTGTCCTGATCATTGTTGTCAATCTTATCTGGAAAATACTCATACTTGAAAGCTAGCTAATTTGTGAGTGTTGAAGTATATGGATCTTTATATTTGAGGAATTGACTATTTTCAAGGTTTTCTGGAAAGATAATGGTTGGTCTCTAAAGATTATTTTTAGTCTGTTATTGTGCTTGTCAAGTCTGGATAAGTAACAGAATTTGATAGAGTACCGAGTAGCATGGGATAATAGGTGATGTGGGGTAGTTATAGAACTGTTAAGAATAATTATTATTTTCAAGTTATTTCAGATATTATCTTTTTAATAATATTTTTTAGATTGTTTTTCTGTTTTGTTGAGTGGTCCTTAAATTTAGCAGCAGTGGGTATTGTAGGTTATGTTAGTCATTTTATTTATTTATTTATTTTTCTGGTAGTTATGCTCCATTATCTGAGTTTTGGATTAATGGGAGTATTTTTAGGAATTATTAATTATTTTTCTGTCTATGAATACTGAGACACAACATGTAGAAATCATCCGAAAATATGATCATTATTTTATTATATCAGTGGAGATTTTTCTTTGGCTTTATTAGTTGAATGAGTTTAGATTCTGATGTTAGATTCTGATTTCATATTTTAATAAAGATTTATCTTTCTTATTTCTTCCTACCTATCTTGGATCGTATCAAAATTGCAGCTAGGCACATTTTCCCAATAGATTTTGAGAGTTAAAATTAGATTTTTGTTATGTGGTCAATTGTAATGTGGATATTTGAGTTTGAAAGAATGCAGTCCTCTTCAACCTAATATTCTTGATTCAGGTTTCATCCTGTCTGTATAGATATGACTGTGGAGGAAGCCAAAGGACTTGACCACTTCTTTTGTGAAAGCTGTTCTGTGGAAGGTCAACAGAATGCACAAAATTCTCATACTTAAACACACTCTTATACAAAGGTATTTCTAACTTACAGTAGTTTGATTGTCTACATTACCACTGTTTTCTTTTAATTCCTTTCGATTTGGCCTGTCCAAGCTTTAGGGATAGTTAGTTACTTGATAGGAGTATCTTCCAATATCGACCATTGGTATGTTCATTAGGAAATAATACCATGCACCTCTGTAATTCTGCTATTTACAAATGCTAATTTTCATGAAAGATGCGCCTCACCGGAAGGAATTGTACGTAAATAGCATAATAGCATTCATGTTTCGCTTGGTAATGCAGGTGAATGCAAAACGTCATCAAAGATGATAGCAAGTATATAGGCTTAAAATGTAGACCTACGAGGGTGTTACTGGACACCTTGCTTATCTAATCCGGGGTAGGGGTACAAAACGAACGTAGAGGCAATCTTGTTTAAGGTAAACAGTTGTCTTCCTCCTCGTGTGGTAAAAGACTGATACGGAAATGTTTGTTTAAGTCCGTTTGGTTTGAGTGATCATCCTGTTTCGTGTGAAAGTCTAGGATGTTTGCTTGTGTTATTATGTAAGTAGATTCTCTATCTCCTGTCCCAGTCCTTGCTCTTCACTCGGACTTTGTAAAGTAACTTGGCCTACTTATGAGCTTAAGCAGACAGCCTTTTCATATAGAAGATACTGAGTAACAAAAACATAAATCTCCAATTATTTATTTTCCTTGGGTCCCCAAGTTGGTCATTAAACGTATTGGACCTTCTGGGTCCTTAATAATCTGATGCTAAACTCCCCTGCGCTTGTAATCCGTGAATATTTGAGCTTTATTCAGACAATTTTTCTATATAAAAATTAGTTTTTTTATGAGGAGAATGAGTGTAAAGCCAACCAAATGCTAGTCGGTATAGATTATAACAGAATGACAGAAGTGGTAAAGGCGAAAGGCTTGTTTTTCATCCTATGTTAAAACTAAAACACGAAGGGGCATGTAGAGAACTTCGTGCATCAAAAACTCAAAATGGAATCCAACAAAAGCCATTACGCGAGATCTAAATTTCAAGTGCAAGTAATCCACGTGACTACAGTCTACAGCTGAATATGCTTTTTTCACGGTAAATTCTATATCGTTATAATCCTGTAATTTTTCAAAAAACAGAAAGCCGGTGAGACGTCAAAATTTTTATGTTTATTATTATGATATTTAATGAAATTAGAAAAGTACATTTTTAGATGCTGTATAAGTATTTTTTTACCAGCACATAATTCATATGTATTGAGCGTATATAAGAAAAACAATTTCATAATTTATTTTTTAAAAAAATAACTGAAAAATTTTGGAGGAATTGTGTGTAACTTTTAAAAAATGCTAATTATTGTTTTATTATTTTATTTAAACAAAATATTTATATTCTCACTTCCTATGCCTTGACTCGTTTGTAAAAAAATTTTATTTCATTACTCGATATTCTAGAAAATTGAGTGTGTTATCACCACCATTTGTCTAGATTTATTCTGACCCCTTGCTGTATGATTTCTTCGTAAATAATCATTGCGAACTTTAAAATTCACATAAATTCTCGTAGCTTAACAATTTCACTATAAATATACAAATTAATTTATCATAAAGACGTTATAATCTTAAAAAATCATAGTATCTCTTTCAAGGAAAAAAAATCATATCATCTATAAACTAAAATCCTATACCATTGAAGAAATTGAGATGAGTTACAATATTAGCCCAACTGAAGAGTGTTTCTGTGAGATGGTAAGAGCCAGACTTTTGCATTTGACATAAAAGATACATAGTGGAATGACAGAATTATGTGGTGAAGTGTTAGTTCCATTGAGTATTAATGTCAACATAACAGGAAATCCATGGATTATACGCTGAGAAATGAGTTGTAGAGTCATCAAGTGGGTGCCAGAATCTATTTAAAAACCACATAGAATCAGCCTCCACAGAATATCCATCTTCATTTCTGTGCCAACTGAAGTAAGCATGTGTCCTGTTCTCTATCTCAAAAATGCCGTGTCCGTAACTCGCCTCCCGCTCTGCCGAGTACTCTGATTGTGGTTCTGTCATGCTGCATTGTGCAAACCACACTCGTTTCACTTCAAAGACACCATATTTGTACGACAAGGACATGTTTAGATTCTCTCACACAGGCATGTCATCTTCATTCTGGTGTTTTAGATGTCCGTCAACGTTCAACAATCTGTGTCTTTTTTTCTGATTTTGCTTACTTTTTATAAATCGCCATAGGTATCCTTTCCATGGAATGTGAATGTGATAATAGTGCATCAAATGGCAGTCTAGACTCGTTCTAGTTTATGAATGGAGCTTACTTTTTTGCTAAGCCTTCAATATTTCCCCCATCACCAAAGGTTATATACACAGGAGCTGATAGATCTTTCACTGGAGTACATAGACCATTCACAATATTGTATGCAATATTGGATGCACGTTCCTGGGACGTGGAACAATTCAATTGACGCTGGAAGTAAATACCCAAAAAAAAATAAAAAAATTGGAGGTGTGAATTCAACATGATTGTGAGACCATAACATCATAAAGTGTAAAGATAAAGTCTTGCGAGTTCATTCTTCATACAACAACAGAGATACACCACCCTTCTCTGGAAATTAGAAATATCTTTCATATTTAGTTCCCCTCATAAATTTTATGACAGGAACCTTGTCATTATTTACATAATTATCTCTGCAAGCTTCAAGGAAACAACAGACATTCTACATGATGCTGGTGGTTTTCACAAGAATATTGTGTAAGTTTCAACAGAGCAATTACAGATCAAAACAGATACCCCGAAAGGAAATCTAGAAAGATTGTTGGCTTGATGACTTGGCATCAGCTCTACATGTGGATTATACATCTTGTTTGATACTTGGTAAAGAAAAGAGGAACATATAAAAGTGCTACAACTTGCAGATCGTTCATAGGCATGAACGTGACCGGAAAACACAACATCAACCTTGTGCTTCACAAACCAGGGGTCTAGCATCACTCTCATGGTTTCCCCTTCCATATAGTGATAACTGTAGCTACTATACCAAGGCGTGTGCATGAGAACAATCAACCAGGGTGTCTCTATCCTGTTAGCTTTCGGTAGCTCCTCCTCTAGCCATTGATACTGGGGAGCATATGTTCCTGAACTGTGAAAAGAGTTACTGTACCGCACTAAACATTACAGTTTCATGTTTGCGTTAGATCCAGGCAATCAAAATTTAAATGGATGTAGTATTCAAGTAAATACATAAATGGATACAGATTATAATCTTTTTTATTCCTTTTCTTTTCAAACGTGCATTCTTGTGAGACACATTTTTGAAGTACCACCTTTGAGGTTGACGAGATATCTTGGCCTAGGATTAGTGTTTCTGTATTTACCAAAGTGATAAGACGCTTCTGATTTAACAATCACACGCTACATAGAAGATATATGTGGAACTGTTGTCTGCGGTAGCACTTGATGAAGTGTTCAGTAGAATCCGATGCTTTCTAAGTCATAAGACTCACTGTTCATAGGTATATGTAATTATTTGACATGTATCATTAATGGCAATATGTTCATGGGAAGATCAATAGTCATGTGAAAGTTTTTTAGCTTTGGCCATGAATTTTTGCACTAAAAAGAAAAAATATGGGAATTTTTTTTTTCTAACCATTATACTATTGATTGCTTCAATAAAAAATCTTCTTAAAAGTGTCATGATATTACAAAAGATGGCTTCAATAAAATGCTCTCTACATACTTGGGTGTCTCACAAAAGAAGAATCTGGCATTACCATATGCCGAGTATGAAGCCAAGACAATGATATTTGCCGAAGCTCTCTTAATAGAATACCAGAAGGGTTTGGTACTCTGTGATTCTCTGTAAGGAACATGGTATCGGTGAGTATAAGGCTTGAAAGGCTCGGTTTCTCCCTGTAAACCAATCATCATTCTCTGGTTACACTCAAAATTAGGACTGGAAAATGGAAAATGTGATGGTTTGCATTCAAGAACGTGAAACTCAGATTAAATCATTTTCTAGGAGAAGGTTACAATTCCTGGAGCAAAATCAAGTTCATGGTTCCCTGCAGTCCATATCCAAGGTTGATAAGCAGCACTTCTTTCCACGAACCTTCCCCAAGTATCCCACCTCACATTATCATGATTTGGGTAATTATCTGCATAAGACAGGTCTCCCACGTAAAGCAAAGCTTGCCCTTTTCGAGGGTTCATTTCATAGTGCGTAAGCGTCTTATTTGAATCAAATGTCTGACCAAGGTCCCCTGCAAGACAATGCTCAATTTGTAAACAATAAACACAATGGAACATAGACAAAAATCTAACGCAATAGCTTCTTTTGTTGGCCATTACTTTTTCTGCTATAGGATACTTCAACCCACCAAATGCAAAGTGAAAGAGTGAATTTGAAAGAAGTGATAAATGCTGATTGACATATTCATACCACAACAATTATCTATAAATTAACCGACCCAGCCTCAGTAGAATATGTTGGAAATATGTGGGTGGCTGACATTAATTATTTTATTGATGTGCTAAAATAGGTTAATAAATGGTCCCTCAAATATTAAAGCTTGACTATGTTATGTGTGATCATACAGTTGATATGTTACATGCATGATTTATTGAGTCTGGTTAGGGGTTGAAGTTGGCCGTTGATCTTACTAAATCCTGTATAGTGGGTCGGTTTAGAATAGGCTAACTCTCCTCTCTAACCCTAACTTATTGTGTGCTTCCCCACCAAAAGCCATACTCTAAAAAGTTATAGGGAGGAAGATCTAGGCTGACTGACTAAATGTAACATAGTGAATATAGTCGAATTAGGTATGCATGTGTGTGTGTTTAATTTGTTATCGCACACAGTACATCCTATCTAATATTTAGATTTTACAGAATAAACCTATGAGACCAAATGCGTATGGCACATCAGGACCTACTTCAGGAGGCGTCCTAAACCAAAATTGTCGGGCAGTATTCCCAAGTCCAACCTCGTAGTAATATTTGGTGATGTGCTGCACAAACGGAAGCACACAAATCAATCACCGTAACAAAGATCATAACATGGGGCAAAGGAAAAGGGAAGGAAATTTCTACCTCCAAATCTTTTATAGTACAGTGATGAATAAATCCAGAGGACTAATTGAAAAATCTGCAAGAAACAAATTTTCCTTCAGCCAGCATCTTCTCCTCACTATTCTTCTCATTCCAGTAACGCACGACACTTAACCCTTGTTCGTCCTCAGTCACCCAAGAAACTATCACTGCCTTCCCCACATAATCACCTTGTGTTATGTGAACCTTAAACCAGAAAATCCATACATCAAAATGGACAGAGACTAAAAGACTAGAGAACTTGTGATTTAACACAGCTTTAAATCAAGCGCATCAAGGAAACGAAACATCGAATGAAGATTATTATAAGAGAAGGGGTGAATAGGAACCTGTTGAGGAGCATTATTAACACATGCTATCAAGTGGCATATCCACAGTTTTCTCGATCTTTCTGACGAATGAACTGGTCCTGCTTCCATTACTAAGCAGAGCTACACTCAAGAGGAAAACCAGAACCATAGAACAAATGGATCGTAGAAGACCCATCTTCTCAAACTGCAAGTCTGCAACTAATCTCTCAAGATGAATTTAGGTCTCGCTAATGTTTATCCTGTGCAAACCCCATTAATCTAGGCGAATCGTTGTTGAATATAAATAGGGGAATATTCAAAATCATCTGCGAATGTGCAATGCAGAGGTCCAAAATGAATTGTAAGTGACAGAGCCGTGTTAAGATTATCACTCAAGCTGGCATTTTTCTTGCATGAGAAAACAGATGGCGGAATCGCTACATGCCTTTTGCGTGGTGAGAAAGTGACATGAATATGAATAAAACAATAATGATTGTGGCCTAAAAATACAGTGAAAGCGTAAAAGTTGACGTTGGATTCATTGAGCAGATCGATACGATAGTAAAGAGAATAGTGTCCCTTCATCGTTGTGAAAGAACCATTTTCATTCAATAAATAGTAATAGCTGCAACACACAACCAAAGCAGCCTTTGACTTTGTGACAGGATACGATAATTGCTAGTGTTATGTCGTCCCCACACGTTTCTTTTTCAATTTTTGTTGGATCAAATTTTCGAGAGTTATATGCCCCCCCCCCCTTTTTTTGGTGCAAACCACCCGTGTACCTAGTTCGTCAAATTCGAATTAAATATTCAAGTCGGGTTAAGCTCTAAACAGGGAAGCTCCTCCAAGCACATAAAATGGAAAGAATTGTAGCTATCAATCAACTCTCGGGGAATGTATTGATTCATAAGAACATAATCCTCAAATCTTCTCCTAGATGGAATATCTAAGCGTGCGCCGGTTTAGTTTTTCATTGATCAAAAGTTAATTTTACAAAAATTAATTTGACAACTAGTATCACTTATGGTAACTTAATTTGTGTTTAGATACTTTTTCTTTTTTCAAAGTCAATTAAGTTAAATTGTATAATAAGATCTACTTCCTTCATCCTTAAACATAAAGTATTTTTAACCAAATCTTGTATACTAATAAAAGGTTTTACTTAGTTGAAATTATACAAAATCTCAATAATTTTTCAATTTGGTCCCTAATAATGTCACAATTAATATCATTGTGATAATAGGTAAAACACACAATTAATATCTTTTTTATTTTTCAAGACAAGGAGAAAATTATCTAATTACTCAAAAATATTATTGACACCTCTTATATTTAAAAACAAAATAAAATTTTAAAAAAAATACTTTATATATAAAGATGAAGGGAGCATTGGAGTTGGTAACATAAGCTCGCCTATAAGTCGTGGATTGGCTCACAATAAGTTATGGGTTTGGCGAGGCAAGCTAGCATAACTCGCATTTTGGTGGGTTGTATTTCTATAAACGCACCAAATTATAATGAGTTGGCAGCCTAACCCATCAATAAAATATATTTTTTAAATATTTTTTTAATTTAAAAAATTACAAATTAACCTCTTTTTATTTTATTTTTTGGGGAAAAATTATATTTTCTCCCTAAAAACTAATTATCCAAATAACAATAAAACTCCTTCTAAATCATTAAAAAACACAATACAAATTTAAAATACATTAATACAATAAAAAATAAATATATCCATCACAAACAAACATAGTAAAAGAAAAAACTCCTCTAAATATATCAAGTCATTTTGTAAATTCCACATATCTTGCATAGTGTCATTAGCTAAAGTATTGTTTGAAGTAATAGAAAATACTTTTTTCTCAATTTTCCAATCAATCAAGCACATCATACTTTTTGTTTTGTTAGTTTTGAACCAACACAATAAGCAGAATTATTTGAGCATTATTGATGAAACACACTTTGTCACTCAACTTGTATCCTTCTGCGTGCATCCTTATCATATGCGTGTGTTTGATTATTTTAGATATATAGATATAGATATATTATTATACATTACACACTTTGTTCCAATTAACATGGTTGTTTCCCTTTAGATATGTTATAATCAAACATGCTTTACTGTATATGATAACGTACAGTAATATTATTTTTGATCGATATATGGCCTTCTTTTGATATGTTTACTGAGAGAGCGAGTTTATTTTCTCATTTTTTGTCTGTTTTTTTTTTAAATAAACAGGTTAGCTTGTTGCAGGTTTAAATTATACAGTATGAGCCAAAATCACCCTACATTTAAATAAATATATTTTCTCTAACCTAACTTGCCTCTAAGGGCATAAGATAGTAGCATTTCGAAAAAAAAAAAAAAGCAAATAAGTTATTTTTTTAATAATTGTTAACTGCGTTGAGTTGCATGCCTTTACATAAAATAAAGATGACTAGGTCTAGGCTTTTGGTGCATTATACCTGTGACAAGGTTATCTTCCTTATATTTGCATTTAAATTGTAAATTTAGATGCCCAAGTTTAATTTAATTTAATTGGCTTTAAAATAATTAAAGAAAATATTTATGACATCTTAACCACTAAGTCAAGATCTTTCGCACTTCACCCATGATAAGTGATCATGATAGAAAAAGTTCTTTTAAAATTTAAGGAAACTGACGATCATGAGACTTGGACATCAAATCAAAATCATCTATAAATATAGAAGCTTTTTTGTTATATCTGACACGCCTTGTGACATCATGTCTAATTATATTTTATGATCACCTTATATGGGGTGGTTCGATTCCTCCATAAAGTTGATTTTGCCTCTTTGACCCAAAAAGAAATGAGGATCAGTGGACCTTTATGGTCAAGAAGATTAAATAAAAAAAACAAAGAATTAAAACGCACCCATCATTATTGCCAAAAATTGCAATTCACACTAAATAATAGCTTTTTTTAAAAAATACAATATCACAGTTAAAAATTAAAATTGTGCAAGAAAAAAAGAAAGTTGTTCTTTATGGGGGGGAATTTTTGCTCCATGCCTCCATGGAAAAAAAAAAAAAAACTAAAATGTCTTCACAGTAACAACTGAACTAACTAAGCAAAGCTGCGTGGGCTGTTGTAGTTAGTTGTAGTTGAATTCGATCGATACCTTCCTTCTTCCAAACAAACGTCCTAGAATTTAGGGCCATATCACCTGCGGTGGAGAAACCGAATGGAGCACGTAGGATCCGTCCGTTAAGTGGGCCCCTTTTCGTTAACAGTCCAAATAATTTGCCAACGCGACATCGTCGTGATACGCTTGTCGTTAACCGTCACCGTTAGCTTTTTCCGCCCATTAAGTCTCAGCGAACTCTCACGCACGAAGCTACCAGTCACCAGTAATCAATCCCTTCTTCCTCTGTTTCTATGGATCGTACTCTCAAGTCCGTCGTTGTCTTCTCACTCCTCTTCGTCTCCGCCGCATCGTCAGAGACGGAGAGTGTCTCCCTCGTCGAGAGCGACGCCGACCCACTGATCCGGCAGGTGGTCGATGGCGATCATCGATTGGGCGCTGAGCACCATTTTTCTCTGTTCAAGCGTCGGTTCGGGAAGTCGTACGGGTCTAAGGAAGAGCAGGATTACAGGTTCAATGTGTTCAAGGCTAACCTGCGCCGAGCTCGGCGACACCAGAATCTGGACCCGACGGCGGTTCACGGTGTGACTCAGTTCTCGGATATGACACCGTCCGAGTTTCGGAAGGTTTTGGGCCTCAGAGGCCTCAGGTTGCCTGCTGATGCGAACAAGGCTCCCATCTTGCCGACCGATGATCTTCCCAGGGACTTTGATTGGAGAGATCATGGAGCTGTTACGCCTGTTAAAAACCAGGTTTGTCAATTCCTTTAATCTGTTTTTGATTCCTGAAAAGCAAAAGGAAGAAATGGGACAAACCGGAGATTAAATGGATTAATATTAATATTGAAGCAGCATTTTGATATTTGCTGTTATTGATTGGCTTTAAAATGATGATCTTCCAATTTTTTGGGAATTTAGGGTTCATGTGGATCATGTTGGAGTTTCAGCACAACTGGAGCCCTGGAAGGTGCTCACTTCCTCTCTACTGGGGGACTAGTCAGCCTTAGCGAGCAGCAGCTTGTGGACTGTGATCACGAGGTTAGGCATTTGTGGCCATAGTTACTTTTTTGCTAATTAGCTTCACATTGTCCATGGAGTATATAATATTTAATTAATATTGACTGGTTCGAGAGTTTTATCTGCAATTCTGCAGTATCATTCGGTCTAAATAATTCCTAGTAAACTAGTTTGTGATACATATGCAGCTGTATTTAATTCAACATATAGCCTATATTTTAGTGGCTCATTGTCACTATTATTATTGTTTCTGGACTACTAGGTAACAAATTTTGAATTATACATGTTCGGATGTATTCATGGTTTTTCTGGTTGTTTTCACTCAGCCAGTGAAATTAGTATAATGGCCATGTTTCCAGAGCTTTCTCTTATATTGACTATCGAGCATTACGTTCCAAATATTCATACTGAATTATACTTGTCGTCGGTGGCGACAGAGTGAATGCCCATTTTAACGTAATAACTTATGCAGTCTTTTAATTCATGCTGGTATATGATTTGCCTCGATAAATACTGCTCCTTGTATAACTTGGAAGTCAGAAAATTCTCAGCTATTGCAACAGGTTTTACCTAAGTTCATGTATTCTCTGCTAGTTGTCGGCTGACTTGTGAGGATGTTGAAGGTCAGCATTGCATAGATGCTCTGGCATATTGCAGCTTAGTGTTCAACGTGATTTCATTCATTCTTTTTTTCTTTTTTGCTTTCTTATGAAGTTATGGGAACTTGACTCTTGTCAAACTTAAAGTTGAGTGCTGCGGTTGCTGTCAAAATATCATGGGTGCATTACATATAACGGAGAATTTTGTAGGATGTGTAATTTCTTAGAGAGGAGTTAAACCCATACCTTTGTGCAGTGTGATCCAGAAGAACCACGTTCTTGCGACTCTGGTTGCAATGGCGGACTGATGAATAGTGCTTTTGAGTACATCCTTAAAGCTGGGGGAGTCATGAGGGAAGAAGACTATCCTTATACTGGGAATGATCGTGGGACCTGCAAATTTGACAAGTCAAAGATTGCAGCTTCGGTTGCCAACTTCAGTGTCGTTTCACTTGATGAAGGGCAGATTGCTGCTAATCTTGTGAAAAATGGACCCCTTGCCGGTAAGACTTCTTAACTAGATTTACTATCACTTCTTTTTGTGGGCTTCATAGAATTCAATAGTTGTAGACAACAGATGAGGACTGACTTGATAATTTGCATGGGTAAATATGCAGTGGCCATCAATGCGGTATTCATGCAAACATATATTGGTGGGGTATCATGCCCATATATATGTTCAAGGAGGTTGGACCACGGAGTGTTGCTGGTGGGATATGGTTCTGCAGGTTATGCTCCCATTCGGATGAAAGAGAAACCATATTGGATAATTAAAAATTCTTGGGGAGAGAATTGGGGAGAAAATGGTTACTACAAGATTTGCCGGGGGCGCAATATCTGTGGGGTTGACTCCATGGTTTCCACTGTGGCTGCTGTTCATACCACTTCTCAGTAGGACCCGTATTGCTGTACCTATAACAAAGCATCTGCTACACCCTACAGGTATCTTGTACCCACCCCGTCCTATCCAGTCTTGCGTATTTCTTGGAACAATTTCATGGCCATGATTAACGGAGAACTTGTCGCATGGATCCCTTTTGTTTTTGGGCCACCCATGCTGCTAACCTATATGTCCAAGAATCTTGAATCGATTTGCTTTCCTCAATATATCAAAATATCATTCAGAGGTGATTTAATGTTTGATTAGAGTGATACGGGTGTGTTATCAAAATACTATAACTCAATTAAGTGATACGGGTGTCTTATCTTCTCATTGATAGCTATTGATCGTATAAATATAGCTTGCATGTAATAGAACTTAAAAACATTATGCGACTGACTAATTAAAATGTGTACATCATGTACGGAACACATGAACCTAAACTATCTAGTATTTTTATTTAACCCTGAGACCCCACAAGCATGCTCAGCTTGGAAAACAAAAAATGGAAAGGGGAAGGACAATGGCTTGGCATGCATGTCCGCTAGCTGAAATCGAGAACTCAGAGACATGAGACGAATTACGCCCTGTGTAGATCATTAAGAAGGTAAAGTAGCTACTGAAGCTCACATAGTGGTGGCAAGAACACAATATCCCGAGATAGAACAACGAGCGTCAAGACACCTAGCCTAATTAGAATCACTGAAACCTTTGACACAATGATTAGATGAGGCAAGAAAGAAAAAGTCACAGGCTGGAGCACCTTTGAGATATCTTAAAACCTGATGAGCCGTTCGAAAATGTCAGTAGGACAAGACATGAACTGAACTAAATGAACAATGTTCAGACTAAAAAATGAACTGAATGTGTTACCTTTCATTGATAGGCATTGACCGTACAAATACGACTTGCGTGTAACAGAAATAAAAACGTAATGCAACTGACTGACTAAAATATGTATATCATATGCGGAACACGTGAATCTAAACTACCTACTATCTTTGTTCAACATTGACACCTCCCACAAGCTGGAGAATGGATGTTGATCATGCCCAACTTGAACAATAAAAAATGGAAAGGGGAAGGATCTAATGTTTTGGTGTGTTATGTCTGCGAGCTGAGGCTGAGAACGCATGAGCATGAGACGAAGGACACCCTATTGAAGTTGCTCACATATAAAGTGGCAATCAATTTCAATGTGTGTAGTATGCTCATGGAAAATGGGATTTGCAGCAACGTAAAGAGCAGAAAGTAGTTGTAGAAAAGTAAAGCTGGACCTTGATGAGAAATGTGCAGATCATTAAGAAGGTAAAGTAGAATTGAAGCTCACAAGTAGTAATGGCAAGAGCGCAATGCTCATGCCTCAGAATATGATCAAGATACCGTAGCTTGCTTCTTTGATCGCTAGAAAATAAGTGCAGAACCTTAAGAAACACAGTAGCTAGAGATGGAACAACCAGTGTCAAGACACCCTAACTCAATTAAAATCACTGCAACCTTTGATACAACGGTTAGAGGAGGCAGGAAAGAAAAGATCACAAGTTGAAGCATCTTTGAGACATCTTAAAACCTAATGAGCTGCCTGTAAATATTTGTTAATAGGACTAGACATGAATTGACCAACTAAAATATATACTTCTTCGCACTTTGATACCATGACACAGGACTAGAACTAAACAATATTCAAACTGAAAAATAAGCTGAATGTGTTATCTTTCATTAGTAGGTATTGACCGTATAAATTCAACTTACGTGTAATGAAAATAAAAACAGAATGCAACTGACTAACTAAAATGCGGAACATGTGAATATAAACTATCTAGTACCTTTATTTAACTGAGACACTGACCTGATGCAGGTGCCTTTGAAAATTCAAGTTCTTTCAATCCATCTAACCGGGATAATTGTATAATTACATACATAGAAACATATTTCCCACTTAATCTTAGTTTTTCCATTTTTCTTCTTCTTTTCTTTTTCTTTTCCTTTTCTTGGGCCATAAGGCATGAGACTTTTAGTTCGATGAAATGAACACAGGCGAATATGGCAGTTCATAGTTCATTAGCAGCTAACATAAAACAGCCACACTCTTCAAGATTAGGGGTCAACAGACATGGATTTGACACCTATCTTTAGTACAGAATTATAAATTTAACCTCTGCCAAATCCAAAATATCATATTTACCATCCCATACAAAGAAAATTATTCGAATTATTAACTCAATCCCTTTATGCCCGACCATACCGCATCACGTCATCTCAGAACAACAGCTAGATTTGTCTAAAGAGACAATGGAACCACAGTAGTTGTTCGGTGTTGGAGCTTAACAATAGAAACGCCAAAGCTCTTACATAACATGACTAAGAACTTACACTCATCTAATTGCAAATGCAAGAGTTGAACAACACAAATGTATTATGATAGCCCGGGAAACATGCCCTAACTCTTAAAAAACAAATAATTTATTTCAATATTACGCAAATTAAGTTATCAATATAATGAACTAATAGGAAGTAATCATTACACTTAGTCATTCCTGCCCAGCCCGTGCAGAGTCATTCCCTTGAGAGAGAATCCATTTATTCCTTCAATGGCATAAATTAAACAAAGATGATACGGAATGACGCTGGATGAAATGACATCCCCACAAACAATGCTGCAGATACCAATCACTGAATCACCGGTCGAAACAAAAAATATGAATCACTACAGGTCCAAGGCTGAGCTATCCAACGATCTAAGATTTGTGTGATTTTAAATAATCAATCATCTTCATCATCTAGCAACGCAAACGAGTAAGGATAGAACGAGTAACCATCTCCCTCGTAGAACTTATTTTGGAACTCCACCCAATGAAGACGCAGAGCATGGAGGAAGGCGCTAAGGGTTTCCATCACAAGTAACACCCCCACAGTTGCAAAAGCAAACACAATGAAACCCACTATAAGAATGATCACATTGTTGTACCTGTGGCACCAGACACAGCAATTAGCAGCCATCTTTCACATTGAGGTTGAGAGGATGACAAATGTAGAAAATGAACAATGACCGGCAAAAAACCAGTGAAACTTGTTACGTTGTGCGCGCAATGCTCACCACCATTTGCATCCTCCAACTCATGAGATGCAATAAATAAAATCTAACGAAATTTAGTAAGTAAACATACCCCCACGCAAGAAGAAGAACCTTTTCATAGAAAACACTTGACAACTCCGAATGCGCAAGGCTGGATGTAAATAAAGAAACAAGAGAAAATGCATCACTATATTTTATTCACTCGCAAAAATTGATAAAAGATCTACAGATTAATGAATTAATCATTTATAATATATATGAGGTTCACATCTGTATATCAAAATGTGGGATTCAAGGACTATTAGAAGAATCAGGGAAAAAAAATTCACTTGCCAATCATAGGGCAATGAAGCAGTTGGCTTATGATTGTGTGCGTGCAGTGTGTAGCGTATAGGCTTGTGTTTCACATTTCAAGATCATAATGCTTCAGAGATATATCTAGGTTTACAGAGACATACCTAAGGGCCCATAGACGAAGGTAAGAAGCTGTATTAGACACTGCTCCAAGCACAAATTCAATGGTATGTATGAGTTGATGGACAAAGACTTCACTGAACTCAAATTCCTCATGACCATGGGAATCATGATTTGACTCCACTAGCAAGCTCTCCTCTGTGCTTCGAAGTGGCGCGTAAGATTCACCCTGGTGCCTCTGTAGTGAAAACTATTTAGAACCAAAATAAAAGAGAGTTGTTCCATAACATAAGGAAAGCACAAAGAACCATACATCATTGTGTTGCTTCTTCAAAAGAAAGGGTTTTGGTATCAACATCCAGGGCACAGAGACAAGGGCCAGAAGTAGCAGTACAAGCTGGAAAGATCACAACAAAGCGTCTAAGTTCTATCCAAGAAATAACAAAAACTAAAGGGTAGGTGGGGTTGGAAATAAAAATAACCTGTAAAGTTTTCTGACCAGGAAAGAGCTGGTTTTCTCCCAAATCATCTGTAGGACTCAGAAACATGTAGATCATTACATGGTACAAATCAGCTTGTGACCCAGTGCACCACTTCACAATGATAAGGAGGGAAAGGTAACCAAACAAACTGTTGAGAAATATAATCTCGGGAATAAATTGGAACCTGAAGAGCAAAACAGTTTAGTAAAACAGTTATATTCAATTTCAGAAGATGAAGTAATGGGCTAATTTAAAGGGATGGAAAATTTTTCAGTGATTTGATTGTAAGATGTGTATAATCACTCAGCCTACCCCAACTCTTTCCCATTCCCTTGGAAAAAAAGTACAAGTTTCCAAAAATATGAGATTCTTCACATACAAATAAGAGTGACCAACCAGAGCCCTGAATAAGCTTTACAGTGATCAAACAAGGAAAAATACAGATCACGAACTTACCAGACATTCAGGCCATTGCCAAAGAATTTGGCATTGAAAAAGCTTATTATAATTCCAAGGTTCATCTGAGCTACCCCAAGGAGAATTGACATCTTCATTTTCAAAGAATTCAGGAACGGCAATTCACTTCTAGTACCATGCCATACAGGGTCCACTCCAAAAGGGTATGCGGGACGGACTTTAATCAAACCAGTAGTAGTTGCATCTCTGCACCCCAAAAGGACAGAAGCAAGCATGTTAATGTGATCACAATCAGAATCATAAAGCACAATTCTAGATTATATGAATAGAGGGATTTACCATACCTGCAAGAAAAGTCACGGCATGCATATGCTGAGGGACCAAAGAGTGCAAATGGGACAGAGAAGAACTCATTATAGATCAAACCAGTGAAGATTGAGAAGAGGGCCATCATCAAAATAACATAACGACCTCCAAAAGTCATTTCCATGATATCTCCAAGCTTCTGTTTTGTTTTTAATCGGCAAAGTGTTACATTAGATGCATGTCAGGAGAAAGTAAAGATAATAAAATAAAAATTAATCTTTAAAGAAACTCATGCAATATGGGAAAAAGTTACCTGGCTAGAGAACTTTTTCTCCCTCATTATTAAATACAAAGTTACAAGCAGCAAACATATTCCATGCCCCCAATCACCGAACATTACCGCAAAAAGAAATGGAAAAGTAATTATGGTATATACAGCTGGATTTGCCTCCTGATACTTAGCCACCCTGCAATATTAGCTCTGCATATGATTACACTTTTTCACAAGAAAAAACTATGCATCAAAAAGTAAATAAGTATATAATTTATTAATGCAGGTGT